AGGGAACGAAAGAAGTGAAAGAAAGAAAGAGAATATGTTTTGGGAACGAAAGAGCGAGCGTTAGAAAAAGCGTGTCACTTTTTGTTGAAAAAAATGAGGAAAAAAAACAAGAATTACGAAAGGACGAAAGAATTTAAGCAGTACGATTAGACGACATCTCGCGAAATCTCGACCGAGAACTCCGTGACCGTTTGTTTCTCCCTCATTTTCGACGCCGTCGAAAGAAATTCCGGGATAATGTCGTACGATATGAATGTTCTATTTTCGTTTCTCTAAATGAATATGTATTTCCCTCCGTGCGCGACCAGCCGCTATTCGCCGTAAAAGCTGTCGCTTGACTCGCGGAGTTCGCGGCAGGAGATCGTGAGACGATTAAGTATAAAGCGTTAGTGATTGTATCCAGTATCATATATCTGATAAAAGATACCCTCGATGCCAGACATGGCGTGTGACAATAAAGTGATTCAATGATCTTGTCATGTTTCAATCATCCGTCACGTTGTCTTTCCTTTATCATACAGAGAACGATAAATTCGCATAAATCTAAGAATTCTTTCAATATGTTGAACAGCTCAATAGCTACTATCATTCGATAAATCGATCAATGATAAATCGAATACTGTTGTTATAATATTTTGGCAAAAACATAAAATTCTTATTCAGATAATCAATTATCTGAGGATTGAAATAAAGGCAATTAAAGACACTCACTGAAACACGATGCGCAGCAGCGGAGTTGTAATACAAACGCCGACCTGTAAAGAAATATATCCAAATTAAAGCAGAGATAATAAATTTTGCAAATAGCAAATAATATATAAATTATTAACCTCATGGTTGTTCCGCCGTCGCCTGACGCCTTCCGGGCCTCCTTCTCCTCTTTTGATTTACTGTGGTCGTTTTTTTTGGCACACACGACAAGGTTAGGTACGCACACTAATCATGTTGAAATACGACGATCGCGCGACACTTTGTGCGTGACACTCCCGACGCGTATTTTATAACATCATAAACATCGCGCGATACTGTGCACGGCACTCCCGCATACACATTTTATCGCCTAACAACGCGAAAGAATACTTATTATGAAGAAACACTCACTCACAAAACTATAATTCGTACACTTCGGCGTTACAAAATGGCTCGGAACAAAAATCGCGCGATTGCCGCGCAACAAACATTGCGTGCCATCTATCTTGCAATAATCAACAACTGATTTTATGATCGTTTATTGGTAACATTACCTACTGTAAGTTTTTAACAGATTCAGTTTGCTAAAGCGTCGACAGGAAGCGCTACCTATCTTGACGTTTTGGTTCGCGCGAATTTTACGTTTGTAAAAAGTTTGTCAATAATTTAACACATATAGTGCAAATACATGGAAAATTGTGATAATTATTAGCTTGCATCAGTTCTACGTACGTCCAGTAACAGAAGTGCTGAACAACAATGCGCATCTATTTATGGTGAGTAGAGTTTTCAATGTGTATATGATTGTAGTAAAATTTCAGGTTATGCAAATGTTGACATTATTTTACTTTAACATATACAAAGTAATGTAACACAGATTCTAGCATTAATGAAGTACATTTTTTATCACGATTATATTTACATTTGTCATAAACGATGTAGTTACGGTTGAAAATATATGCATGCAGCATGCTGACAGAGAATAGCGTACATTTGATGATACGATTGCAATATTAAATGAACAAAGATAGAATCAGGAAATCACATATATACACAATCTAATATTAATCTAATCTAAAATAACTTATATTAATTAATTTTATTGATAAATATATAATAAATTTCTTGTGGACAACAAGTTATATTGAAGAACGAGTATCGATGCGACATGCATATTATATACTAGATATTGGATATTTACAAGCTTATAATACAACACAGAAATATTTGAGCACAAGCAAGCGCGGAAAAGATCGGCCAAATGATAGATACGATACGGTTTTCGACATGTCGGAAAATTTTATTGCTGCAATGGACATTGCGTGCCATTTGTTATAGCGATGCAACATTTAATTATATAATCTTTTATTGGTAACATTATCCACTATAAGTTTTTAACAGTATTCCGTCGATATATTGATACACTTTATCTTCGGCAATAGCTAATTTTAATTTACTAAAGCGTCGGCAGAGAGCGCTATCTGTCTACTAACGTTCGCGCGTTTCGGTTCGCGCGAATTCTACATTCGTAAAAAGTTCGTCAATACTTTAGCAATGTAGTGCAAATACATGCGAAATTGTGATAATTATTAGCTTGCATCGATTCTACGTATGTCCAGTAACGAAGTGCTGAACAACAATGCGCATCTATTTATGGTGAGTAGAGTTGTCAATGTGTATATATGATTGTAGCAAAATTTCAGGTTATGCAAATGTGTGTGTTGACATTATTTTACTTTAACATATACGAAGTAATTTAACACAGATTCTAGCATTATTGAAATATATTTTTTATCACGGTTATATTTACACTTGTCATAAACGATATAGCTATGGTTGAAAATATATGCATGCTGACGGAGAATAGCGTACGTTTGATAATACGATTGCAAATTAAATGAACAAAGATAGAATCAGGAAATCACATACATACACAATCTAATATTAATCTAATCTAATATAACTTATATTAATCGATTTTATTGATAAGTATATAATAAATTTCTTGTGGACAAGTTATATTGGAGAACGAATATCGTTGCAAAAGTGTGGAAAAAATCGGCTAAACAATAGATACGATGCGGTTTTCGACGCGTCGAAAAATTTTATTGCTGCGATGGACATTGTGTGTTATTTGTTGCAGCGATGCAAAATCTAATTATATAATTTTTTATTGGTAACATTATCTACTATAAGTTTTTAACAGTATCCCGTCGATATGTTGGTACACTTTATTTTCGGCAATAATTAATTTCAATTTGCTAAAGCGTCAGCAGAGAGCGCTATCTGTCTACTAACGACTGTCTATACAATTTCGGTTTGCGCGAATTCTACGTTCGTAAAAAGTTCGTCAATACTTTAACAAATGTAGTGCAAATATATGCGAAATTGTGATAATTATTAGCTTGCATCAGTTCTACGTACGTCCAGTAACGAAATGCTGAATAACAATGCGCATCTATTTATGGTGAGTAGAGTTTTCAATGGATGTATGATTATGGCAAAATTTCAGGTTATAAGCATATTAGCATTATTCTATACGAATTAATTTAACACATATTCTAGCATTAATAAAGTATATGTTCATATTACGATTATATTTGCATTTGTAACAAATACAGCTATGATTGAAAATATATACATGTTGGCGGAGAATAGCATACACTTGATGATACGAGTGTAATATTAATGAATAAACTAAAATCAGGAAAACACATATATACATAACCTAACTTTTATTAATTGATTTTATTAAAAAGTATAATAATATAGTATAATAAAGTATAATAATATTCTGTTGTGGACAATAATTATATTTGAAAACGTGTATCAATGCGACATATTGTATTAAATGTTGAATATTAATAAGCTTCTAATACTACGTGGACATTTTTGAATGCAAACAGGCGCGACAAAAGAACGACCAAATGTAACAGATTAGATGTGGTTTTCGACGCGTCGGAAAACTTTATTGTCGTAATCCCGCGGCGTCGATAAACCCATTAAACGCACGTCGTATCGCGCTATAATGTATGCGATGGAACGTAATAAAAATCGATTTACGCGTAGTACGCATACATCCGCGCGCGCGCGCGCACGCGTTCTATCGGCCTGGCACCCTTTTCGGTGTCGCTAAAAGTTTAATCAAAGTCAGATTAGCCGAGCTCGCCCCCGACGCCGGGGGTGCAAGACTCAGGGATCCCCGGACCCGGTTTTATTAAACGGGACTTGATTAGGGGTTGCCAAGATCCTTTCAGAGTTTGTTTTCAACTGGTTTTCATGACGGCGCTTTCATTACGCGCGTTTCACATAATTGACGCGATCATTTGCGAGGGACGAGAAAACTTTGGCCACTCGCCTTCTTAGGTTTTTTTTTATTTGCGACTACCGTTCTGTCTTTACTAGTTTCAAGTTTATCCCGAAATTTTCTACTTGCAAGGACTTTATATTTAATTTACATTGTTAAGTTGTGAATTTGTACACATTCTCTGATTGTAAGCATAATTAGAAAAGTTTTTTCTAGCACACTTTAATATAATAATAAAAAATATATATACAGTATACGTATACTGATTTACAAATTATAATGCATAATAATCGCACGTATTATGAACGATTCTTTAGCGTTAATTTAAATTGCTCTTGATTAATTATTTTAAATAAATAAGCTATTAACAATCGATTGAATTAGAAGTCAACAGCCTTTATGAATTTCGCTGGAAAAAAAAATGGTGATAACGCATGAATAATATCAGTGTAACGCGTGATAACGAGCGCTTTCCGATGATATGCAATTCGGAACACGAAGCGTATAACTTTGGATCGGAAGCGCGATAACGACCTCTGGTAAAGACACGATGATTAAGGGACAGCTTGCCGGAGACACATTTAGGCATTCGTGCAGGGTGGCTGGGAAGTGATTCAATCTCCGCGTAATCCTTGTAATCTCGAGGGTATATCTCCGTGCTCCCGTGACCCGCCCCAGGGAAAAGTCCCGAACTGATTTCAATTCAGAAGTGTTTACGCGCGATTATTGTTTTCGATCACCGTGATAATATTGACGCGGCTTAAGACGCATTTTGCTATTGGAATTTATTACGCGTGATCGGCATTATTCAGTAACTTTTAAAGAATTTCGAAACACTCCTCATTTTCTTATTGCAATAGTACGGTTGAAGCTTTGATTTATTTAGAACAGAAGTTTATTTAAAATTGATATTTCGAAAGAGTTTATAGTCTTATTTGAATTTAATCCAGTTTCTCTTGGGTATATTTTACATCAGACATGACTATTAATTATATGCAACATGCCATTTCTCATAGTGTTATTTGCCAGCGCCGGTTACTCTTTTTTATTTTATATGAACTTTATACGAAGGTATTTAAATTATTGTGAAATAATTTTCGTTGAATGGCAAACAAAGGTTGGAAATATCATCTGTATTATTTAATGCATAATATAACATCTGACATATCTGTTTTCTTGCATTTCTTGCTTTTAAATTTTAAGTAATTCAATATATAATACATATAAGTATAGTATTGTTTCGGATATTATTATAATGTAAATGTATTTATATTTTACAGATGAGCTTTGTGTGCGTAATCGGTGCTACGAAATATATTTGTTCCGTAATATAAAAAAATGCGCGTCGGGAATGCCGTTTAAAGTGTCGTGCGATTTTCGTATTCGGGTACACGCGCGAGCAATGTGTCCGCCACGAACACGTGTGAGTGTCGCCACGAACACGTGTGAGCGTCTCAAAGGATCACTGAGAGGAAGAGGAGGCCTAGAAAACATCGGATGACAGTAGAGCAACGATACGGTAAGTGATTTATTATAAAAATACATTTTTTTAGCGAAGAGGCTGTACATATAACATTTGATGTTTGAAAATAATTTCTACATAAGATTGAAACAATGAATGTTTTTTTTTTTTATTACAAGTTTTGGATACATTGATGTTTTAAATAGGTTTTTAAATTTTTACAATAATACAATGGCCTACGCACGTATTGTAACTTTATTTGGGAATTATAAAAGTACGAATTATATGAGTCTTAGTAGTTTTGCATTTGAGTGAGTAAAACAAAGCGACGAAACTGAGATACAAGAAGCGCGGAGACAAAGTGCAAATATACTCACGAAAGAGACGAATGCCAGTAGGGATTGGTGTAACCGCGCAATAACAGCCCTCCCAAAGCGAGAGCAGAGATTGACGCAGTGTGTCGGCAGTGTTTACGTCGAGGGGTCGTACGGGCGACTTTACCTTCCGCTCCCGTCTGGCTTAACGCTAATGAATCTGATTTGCATCTGATCCCGAACGGCCTTCGATCCATCCTCGAGGTCCCCGGATGAATTATTTAAAGACGTTAGTCTTCCTCAGACGTGTCGATAATTGATTACACAATGTGAGTTTTCGATGCACACAGCATGCACGCTTTATCATTGCCAATTGAATGCAACATATTTGTGTGTTACAATAGATTTTATTTCCTTAATTGTGTTATTGACTGCTTTATTAAATTATTATTACATAGTCAATTTCATAAATGATACAATAGATGCTTTATTTATGAATCAATATGAATTTTTGCTTAGAAAAACTTAACAGATTTTAATTAATTAATTCTTCACAATTTTTAGTTTAATAAATTTTTGATTTTAAATAATTAATTTCAAGGAAAATATTTAATGACAATAGTCATCTGTCAAATGTCTCTACAAAAATTTGCTAACAATGAAATTGTTGATCTGATGGCTTTGATAAATCGTTTGACAACAAAAAGAATAGCGTTTGATATTGCATTGATGCGCACAATGTTTTTTATGAGCAATATTTAATGTAAAAAATCAAGGGGAACGAATTGGTCTTATTTAAGAAAGTAGGTTGTGAGACTTTATCGTTCAATTGTCGACCGCTCCTTCGTTGAATTTCACTTTGCAATCGTCAGAGATGTATTACATGACGGACGCGGTCAGTGGGTTATTTGACGTTTCACGAATGGCGCCACTTTGTACAGATTTGTCGTAAGACTGTTAAAAATGATCAGCCGTCAAAGAATCTTTAACTCACTATTATTAGTATCCACGATAATCCGTCGTTAAATTTTCAATGTTATAGCCGAGCGGTTAACTGGCGTCCGGTGATAATTTAT